AAGTTTATCTGGTTCTTCATACTGTTTTTGGAGACGTTTTGGCAAATATTCTGCTCCCTGTCCTTTTTTCGAAGTTATTTCTCTGGATTTGTATAGATGGCGAGAATTAAATGCGCATCTAGACTGGGTTTTGCAATTCGCTTTTGAGCTTATCTATTTGGGAGACCGCTTCTGGTGCCTTCTGCTTGGTTCTACAATGTTTTTAGAACATGTCTTGTTTTAATTACTGGATCACCTTCCTACATAGATTATAAGGCTCCGCATTCATCTATAGGATAGCCTACGAATAAGATTGTAGTAATGTTTGGGGAAATAGATTTAGGAAGTTTAAGCTCATGTGACGCGTCAACAAATATTTTTCCCCACCAGCAATGTGCTTCCACACCGCCACAAAAGTCGTCCATCATGTTCATTATTCCTTTTATTTATTTGCTGATAAATGCCAATTTAGTCACACATAACGCACGGCTTGGTTGTGGGCACGGTGACTGATCTTTCTCTTTATCCTGTTATTATGGACCTTGATCCTGTCACAGGCAAACCTGGTATCGCTATCGATGCGAGTCATTTTTTCAAGGTGTGTAAATATTTTAAAGGTCTCGCACATTTATTTCTATTTCTCGTTCGATTTACCTTTTTAGGTTAGTCTTGACAGCGCCTCTCTGAATGATATTGTTTCGACCAACAATGGTAGAATATTCTTTACTGCTGACGATAAGCTGTATGAATTCGTCTATGAGGTGGGGCATATCGAGAGTATGCAATAGATGAAAATTTTTGAAGCCAAGATTCAAAGTTGACCCATGCTTAGATAACTCTTGGATTATTTTAGCACAACACCGGCTGGTTTGGAGGAGGACGAAAGTGCCGCGTTGTTAACCAATCTGTGACGTTGCTTAGTACCCTAATCCCGTTTCTTGGACCAGGAAGCGGTACGTAGAGCATTTTGTTTGATGTGTTTAGCTAGCTTGATTTCTGAAGTGTTCACGTGTATGATTTAGAGGAGCTCGAGCAGATCGCTTTGGACAAGTCTCGAAATATCTTGTACTGTTTAGGGAAGAATGGCTCCATTCAGGTATTCCACTGTAACAGGTCGTTCAGATCTGGAGGTTTTGAGTACAACGCGGTAAAAGGCATCTTTCAGGTTTTTGACCTTGGTGTGGACGGTGCTCAGTGCAGCAGGGTATGTGTCGTCACAGCTGGGCAGATTGCTGTAAGTTATTAACGACATTTTAGTCTCCTGACATCACTTGCAGGTCTGCTTCGTTGTGATTACATGTGCTTTATAGAGTGAAGCTCATCCTGATGACTCAGTACGGTCACGAAGAGTCTACTTTTACGAACATCGCGACTATTTGTGCTCTAGAAGCCGACCAGTCAAATCAGCTTAACTTGGTGAGATTGTTATTCTGAAGCATTTTCACTCTTCACGAAGATATAAGGATTTGTGATGTATAGATAGCAGTAACGGCGAAAGGTGTGCGGATATACTTCTCTGTGCTGGCACGGAACGTGGCGAACTCCAATCAACAAGGGCAGTATCTGTCCCAAATAACATACAAGGTAAACAATTTTTGCTCTTCTATTACATACATTAGCGGTCAAAAGTGTTCGCCGAAACGGTTTTCGTGCTTCTCTTTTTTGCCAGAAAAAAATCAATGGTGGCCTCGAAAATTTTCTTTTGAATATCCTGATTCTTTAAGACTTGAGGATATAAAAACACTAGAAAACATAGTATATCAATCTTTGGAGGGCGTTGCTCAAGCGAGAAAAAATAATGCACTAAAAATCGTTTCGGCGAACACTTTTGACCGCTACTGTATGTTAAAGTTAAGTGTTGAAAATGGAAATGAATACTATGGTTCAAAGCTTTACTTCGACTTCTACAACTTCTGTGTCTCTGTGTTCCTCTCATTTGTTGACGTATAAGGTGTTGCGAAATTAATTCTTTTGTAGAGCCTGTCCCAGCAGGAAGTTCGACCGCAATGTCTTCGAGTGGCTCATGTGAGATTCTCACCCGGTGTAGCTCCAACATCTATCTATCGTGACACCCCACAAGGAGTCTCAATCGCCTATGCGGATCAAAGTATCTTTCTGATAGCATCATTGCAGGAAATGGGTTCATTCGCAAATCTTGCTGTTCAGGCTTATGTGTGATGGCGACGGCGAATCGCCAGCTGGTTTGGGCGCTGTCCGATCTGTATCATCCACACAAACACGTGTACTGTGAATCTATGGTAATTTGTACAATACTTGAGCTTCTTCTCACTTGCTAGCAGCTTAACAGTACACTTTACAGAATGATTTACAAGTTGCCGGAAATGTGTGGGCTATAACTCCTGTTGCGGACAAGGTGAATTTTCTATCAAGACTAAGGACTTATTGTTCTGTACTCATGCCTTTTGATTTTTTCCCTTTAACATATTCCTTGAGGCGCTTCATTATCAACCACCCGAGCCTGGCATGATTGCAAGGGTCCAACCACATGCGTTCTACCGCCAGTCAATTGAGATGAAACAAAGGTTGATTATTTGTTCAAACGAGGTTCGTTTTGTAGATTTCATTTTTTTCATGGTGCAGCTCAGAGGTTTAATTGCAGGGTATTCATGAGTTCGATTATGTTACCCCGCGCGATGCATTACGTGAAGCATTATTTGATGGCGGTGCTGAAGGGCGAGCAACAGTGCAGTTATGGCAACAGTTCGGTGCCACGGAAGTGCTCGTGTTGGCTCTTTCTGTGTTGACTAGCGAGTTAGCTGTGGATGAACGAATCAAAGAAAAGGTACTCTTAAGTTCTTTTGATTAAACTTTATGTACGTCCTTTCAGTTGAAGGAAGGAGTTGCTGATATGTCATAATAGGCGGTTTTATTTTGTTTAGAATTAACCTAGATGAGGCCTTCTCGTTATAAGTTGTTTTCACCCTTCTTCATTACAGGCTGCTTCCATATTCTACAGCTTCAAAGATACGCCTGAACTTGTGGACGTCGACCAAACCCGCGGGCTGGAGAGCACATGGTCACCTGGGGACAGCATTGCTGAATGGAAGCACAAAATGAGATGTACTGATGTCGTTAAGCGTTCTTTTTTACGGATGAAGTTACTTGGACAGTCGTTATCCTTCCGCAGATCAAACTGTGATCACTTTTAGCGCCACTACAAGCATCAACTCCACGTTTTGAGAGTTACGCGCCAGTGCAAGTCTCGTCACCTTTCTCTCCAACAAGTCAGTGGAAGAATGTGTTGCTTTTTTTCTCAAATCAAATTAGTCATGATCGAAATTTGTCCGAGTATCATAATTTATTTCACTTTTCACGGGATCGAGCTGTTTTTTATCCTTCGGAGTCACTTCTGGAGGTCGAACTTTTTCTAATGAATTGCAAATATTTGGTGTTTCAGTGAACAAACCTTTAGCAAGTGGTGGACAAGGCTACGCTCACTCTCCGAGTCGCCGTCACGATGCCTTGTACTACTATTTTTCACGGCTCGTAGCTCCGATATGGAATCACGCTATATGTCGAGTAAAAAACGGAGTTGTAAGTTTATTTTAGTTTCAGTATAGTGATGGGTTTCATGTCGAGTTTTTAAGCATCTTCTATTTTCAAAGTATTCCATCTCAATCTTTTGGATAATGACGACTTGCTAGAATTTCGTTCTTTTTATCCAATATTTTCCAGCTCGTTACGTCGTTGAGTTCGGAAGAGATGAATTGGTTATCGAACGAACTTCGAAAACTGGGCGAAGTAATGGAGAAATATAATCTTCTGCCCAAGCCGGACGTCACCTGGAGCAATACTGCGGCCGGAAAAATGAATGGTTATCTTTTTCTCATAATTTTCCCTTTCCTTCTTTCTTTCACGAGGAATTTTTTCTTCTTCGATGTTGAGTTTTCAGTTATCATTGTAGCCATTCCACTAATCATTAGCAAACTTTTGATCTTGAGAATTCCGTTACTCATGTAATACTTTCCAGTTCAAGCCTCAAGCATGGAACGACAGTCACTTGTTGCTCTTCGGAAACTGATCGAATCCTCTGCGGTTAGTACCTATGGTGTTGCTCAAACTCATTCTTTCTTATTTACGCTGTCTCTTGTCCTTTCCTTTAGTCCATGTTCATATTGCCTCTTTCGTCCAGGAAGTTCTTTCGTTGTGGTCATCGGCGAACTCATTTGATCTGAAGGCAATTTCTGCAAGCATGGATCCAGCTATCCTTCCCTCCTTGGCCGGACGTCCGTTTTGTCATCTCGTATGCGATGGACAACATCTTAATGGAGACCTAATCAGGACGATGATAAAGTGGGTTTAGAGATTTCTTCGCTTGATATGTAGATTCGCTACTTCTATTTTAAGATACTTCCTTGGTGACGAAGCAGGAACAAAAGAGCTGTCTGAACGTCTCAGAGCATTGTGTCCAAACCTGTATTCAAAGGTGAGTCATTTGAGATGGCAGGCTGTCAGATTTTAGACTTCACCTTTCAGGATGATGCATGTGTGACCAACGCTATGGAACAGCTTAAATTGGCATCTGTAGCGAATTCAGGAGCTGCTCGAAGGAATCTCGTCGACAGGGCGTGTGAGCTGTTCCGCCAGTCCATTGGGAAGGTTTCGCTGCCTGTAGTGTGCCGGAGTTTGGCTGAATGTATGTGCTTGATTTTTGTCATTTTTACTTGTTACCAGTCTGTTCCTCCAGCGGCATGGTCGCTCCTTCCTTTACTATGGCGCGCGTCCTGCTGATGTGTTGGCGCTGGTGCGAATGTAGTACCTAGGGAAAGTTTCAATTTTTCTTATTGGTTCTGTTACACAATAGGGTACTACCGAATCGTAACAATTCATAGATGGATGCTGCAGACCAAACTGCTTCTTTTCTCTGTTAGCGATCGATGCTCATCCCATTCGTTATCAAACCACGGGCATTTGGGGTGCGAGTAGGTAGACTGACCACCAGAGAGACTGACCAGCAGACTTACGAACACACACGCTCTAAGTTAATAATTCATTCATGTAATGGAGTGGTTCCGCATTTGCAGTGAACGCGTTTGAGCATCTCGCGGATTTATGCTTGTTGAAAGCAAAGCGAGATGATCCCAAGCAGCTGGCGTTGATTGCATATCGCCATGGTCGCGGCGGAGAGGATCGCGAAATGCAGGCAGCAGAAAAACGACGAGCAGAGAGTTACAAGTGGGTTCACCAGCTTATTCTTGCCATTCCGCCTACACCTTTATATTCTACTCATCTTTGTATGTGTAAACTCCCGAATTTCAGATGCATCACGGATACTCTGGATGATCTGGAAGCTTCTGCCTCAAAGACATCTTCAACGTCGGCTGAAAGCGTAAGTGTTGAGCAATACTAGTCCGCCTGAATACCTCTGAATATCTGTGTCGTTTTTTATATCAGGCATTGAAACTCTGGATTTGCATTTTGATAACTCGCATGAACAAACATTGTTCGCTAGTCGCACTCATTACACATCACGAAACGATAAGGATGCACGAATCGAAACTTTGTTATTTTTTCTCGGTTATCTTTTCAACACAGCAGCGATCCGTTTTACTCCTGAAAAGTTCAAGTATTTCAGAGCTAAAAGTTGTCATGCCTCCTCTTTCAGGCTGTGATTTCAATTAATTGGGATTTACTTAGAGATATGTGGTAACATCTGGCTTTCACTGTTTTCGTCCAGATTCTTAATACCGTTTTCTCCAGCGCATAACATGGTAAATTGCAAAGTAATGGCGATGACCCTCGGGGATTTCTTTATTCTGAAATTGGCAGAAGATGTTCAATGAACAGTTGATATTTGCCATGTCATGTGCATGTTTACCTGAAACCACATTCGTATCGTTCCAGTTTCACCAGGTTTAATGAATCCTAATGGGGGCTGAACTCGGAAGATGTCGGCCGACGTGCATTTCACCTAAAGTTTTCGTTGTATGTGAAAGATGAGGTCATAGCTGACCTAGGTGGTCATGAAAAAAAGCGACGCGTAGATTGCTTTTGTGATATAGTATTCAGTGCCGCGGATGCTCTTCATATGATCAAGCAAAATTCTTCTTCAGCAAAATCTAACTTTTGAAACTCTATCTAAAAAAAATAAGCGCTTTTTTGTGTGTTTCCCTCGATTTAATTTATCAGTAGAACGTACGACGGGATTTCCAATTTTTCCAAGTTCTAACAGTCACTTATCGAACATTGTTCGTACGCTCAAATCTTTTATCATGGAATTTGCTCTTGACACTGAACATTGCGTTACTTTTACGCTATGTCTTTAATTTATAGGACGACTGTAAACTAGTTTGCTTTCGTTGTATATAGTGACTCTGCACGTCCGCTCCAACCGCGTTTACTCGCCGGAGTAAAGTCACTCTATCAAGGTCATTTTGAATTCTGGTTCTCCAGGTCTGCAATTCCTTTTTGAACTCTTGAATTCTTTACTTAATACATTACGACGAGCATGAAAGCATGTTCTTGTAGCAAGAAGGCTTTTCACAAGCTGCGCTGTGCAAGCCTCTTACATTTGAACCTTTTTTCTTCGGCTTTTATGAGCTTTTTTCTTGGTGAATCATTAAGAACTTGACAAAAACTGGGTTTGAAACCTACTTCAACCCTCGTAAGAAGTTTCGGGGTAGCAGCGAGGAATCATAGTGTGTTCATATTTGGCCGAAAATTATTTTGTGAATTAAAGTGTTTTATCCAGCGACAGAATTATGTCTCAGCTTTGGCAGTGATTCGTGTAGCAATACATACACTGTGTGAGGGAACTGCTTTTCACAGAAACGAGTTAAGCGATCTTACTAAGCCATCAGGCGACCGATGTATATTCATTTTGCATGAACTGGATGACACTCGAATGACAGAGGGTCGAAGGAGTCCACGAAGCAGAGATGCAGAGATAGGAATGTGAGATATCGAAGCGGAGTGTAGTTTTTCGTCAGCTTACCGTACGTCTAGGCCTGCGCGTGTTCATCTGCGGAAAGAAAGTCTAGAAGGTGGCCAATAAGTTTTAAGGGAGGTCTCATGAAGAAAAGTTACCTTTGCTCGTAAAAGTCGTCTCGTATATATCAAAAAGTACGAATACTTCAACAAGTCGTGCCTGCTAGATGATCTGCTTCCAGCATAAGCTTCCCCTGACGACCTACCGACCTTCCTCCCCAGATTTTATGCGCACAAGTTGTTACGGTGACGGAGGAATACCATAACATAGTGGAAAACCTCTACGAATTCTGGGAATTATGCTCCTTAGATTACATCATTTCCTACAGCAAAATGAAATGACGCGGCTGAGGCATCTTCTCGGCCCAGCTGCAAGATGGCGTTTGTGGGTTACGCGAGATGACTATGGTTAAAGATGCAGCTTAGTTCACGAAAGAACATGTTAAATGTCGTCGTCATGGCAGTAGAAATGTAAGTCCTAGTATGGTGAATATGGAGAGTGTTGAATCATGATCAAATTCTGTTCTTTTATTATGCTATGTCAAAGCTCGCTATCGAATGGAAAACGGATGATACAACTTCATCGCCTAGAAAGTGATGGAGGTACCTGAGCAAAGCGACGTCTAATGTAACCTTACTATCTTAACCTGAGGCGTCAAGTCTTACGCCAGCGTCTAGGATACAGCGTTCAGTAGAACGATGATTTCAAAACCACTCGGCTGAAAGAAACTTAAATCGAATGGTGGTCAAAACAATCATAAGCAAGCCTGCACGCTTAAATAGACACAAACTGGATCGTACTCAAAGTCTTAGCCTTTGTGCCCATTTCCTTTCTATTAAATAGATGCCATGAGGAAAGGGTCTGGGCATCACTGCAAAGGCATTTCTTGCGCTAGCTTTCGCATTTTCATCCTGCCTGGAAATTCCGCTACTTCTATCGCTCGATAGAGGCAGGTAAAAATGGCGGAAGTTTATGCTGGAATTGCTCCGGATCATAGAAAAAATCATTTCACTTTCCTCCAATAGCGCACGAATCAATTGTTAGGTATCAAAAGGGAGTGCAAGGAGTCGGTATTCTGTCATGGCCAACACATTGCGTCTTATGAATGCACAAGATTAAAGGCGGATAAACGTAGTGATTGAAGGTATCCACTAACTCTCTGTAACGACGGATTTCTTCAGTCCTAGGACAAGGCTTACGGAAAATGTACAAGCTCCATGGCCTAGGCCCTAGACTTTATTCACTGTTGTAATATTTTATATTTGTCTGAAAAGAAGGGCTGAAATGTGGCTGTCGCTTGCACGCAAACTGGTATCTGTGTCTTAGGAATTAGGAGGTCACGGCGGTCATTAGATTTTGCTGCTGTCTCTCATCTTAAATCGGCTATGGTCTTTAGTGAAAAGGCAAGGACTCTCGAAATCAAGGACTAGAGGCTCAAAGATAGAAGTGAAGTTGCAATAAGCTATAAACAACAGCAACCATTTGATTATAGGCAAGCGACCATAGATAATGCTCGAAAAGGGACAATAGTGCGATTTTTATGTAAGAACAGGTACCAAGGAATATGGGATTCAATACCTAGGCAGGAGGAAATTGGAGCCAACTGATTTACTATCTTTGGTTGAAACGACATTTTCTTCTCAGCGCTTTTTTGTTTGTTTCATCTATCTGTTGCTCGTGTGAGACGTGGTGGACCGCGATGGCGGACGCTATCTCTGCAAGCTTTAGAGCTGGATCTGATAATAGTATTGAGCACAGTCATCGCAATTCAGGCGCGGTTAGAGGACATTGGTAGATTTGAAGCCGTCTCATAGTCACGCTGATGTTGTTTTCAGTGATTAGGTTAACATCTGGGAATCAACATTATTAGTACGAAATCTGTGACAATTTTTTCTTGGAATCTTAATAATAGGATTTCTTTTGACGTTGTGCAAATGTAGTGAGGGGGGGGTGAGGAAGTGTACATTTCTTGCTGTAAAGAAAGGTGGGATATTCATATGGCAGCTTACGCGTTTGCTAGTAAAATATTTGATCACGCTGTAACAGGGTGCGACTCCCGTGCCGCTACAGCCCACAATTCGCCTAGTATACAGTCGATATCCGAAAGTTGGGGTAGGTGTGGCACCGGAATTGACGTGCTACTTGATAGAAGTTGCGTGGATATGCTGTGTTCAGCATGCTTTGCTGATATCCAGCGATGTTATGCTGGCAACAGCTTATCCACGCAACTTCTATCAAGTTCACGTCACTCGCGTGCCCACACTATCCAACTTAACTCATTATCGAGTATATGACAGAAGCATGTGTTTGCTGCTGCTATCATCCTCGTTATTTGTTCATTTTGGAAAAGCATTTTATTTCAAGCGGCGTATCTTCAAATTTCTCTGTGATGCGTTGTTGGTCAAACCGTGCTATTCGTTGATATGATAACGGCTGTTGCGACTAGCCAATGAATACTAGGTTGCTTGATCGCTGGTTCGATAACGTCCATGTCAGATTTCTAAAGCTTCTTTTTTTTCTTGCCGTTTTTTCTTCATCACTGCACTTCATCTCATCCCTAAATCTTCAACTCTCATGGACTTCTTTCTCAGTGTGCGTGCGTTTTCCTTCTGTGTTCAGGGACTAAAATTGAGACGCCGTTCATTCGCTCGGAGTAATTTAGGACTAAGCCTAAGCCCAATCATAGGCTTAGGCATAAGCCAATGTGCAAGCCATGAGCCTTAACTAAAGTCCCAACCCAAACTTAACCTGAAGCTTCAGTGATCGCGCAACTGTAGTGGCCTGACCTCAGGAGGAGAAACGCACTTTCCCCATTTTTCATCGTAATTCCTTTGAAATTCATCAAATAAATTAATGCTGGGTCAAAGTGGCGCGTAATTCGCTTAATTACATGCTGCGCGCCTTAAATTTCGAAGACTCAGTGTTCTGAACGGTATGCCGAGGATGCTATTGTGCGCAGAATCGACCGCGTGGAAGTCATCGACGAATGCATAAATTTTCAGTAAAAATTACTACCGTGCTGCTTTGTTAACAAAATTGTTTCTGAACCCTGTGAATTTAAAAACGGCGCTATACGATAGTAGGTAAGCTTCGTCTTTCACGGGTTGAGTAGTTGAAGCGCTAGTTTCTTTTTTCTTGTCCTTGGACATCTAAAATGAAGCTACTGGGCAAGCTGGCCAGTTTCCTAGGGTAGAAAGTATTCGCATTCCTCTCTACAGATGACTCACATTGTTAAACGAAGGACGTGGTAGCCGCTCCAATGTGGATAAACTGTGAAATGGAATGGAAGTCACCCCCCTCAGCGTGTTTATGTTTGCATCAGCGCTTTCATCTCGTATCAGTGTTGATATCGCAGAATCATTTTTGGCTCGCACGTCAATTTCACGGAGTCATTCTGCTCAGGAGATGTGTTCTAATTGAAAAAAAAAAAGGGCGGGGTTCACTGCTCAGTCTCACAAAAAAAACTTTTTCAGGCGGTCAATAATGATTTGATAATCTCATGTGTAGTGTCCAGTGATGACGAGTTGGCGCATGCCGCTCTGTTTCGATGGATGCTCGACAGGAACAAAGCGAATATGATACTTCAAGTAAGTTTAGTTGTTGTTGCCTCATGAATAGCGCCTTCCTTGTATTTATGAGAAAATGGACAAAGGGGAAATGCTCAGTATTTGGTGGGTTTGAGGGAACTGTTTAGCCATTTCCAATAAATAAATAAATGATAAATTCATGGGGGTGAAAAGAACGGGTGTGGTTATGGCGTTTTAAACTTCTTGACCCTTTTCCGAAGATTGAACTATGCTCTTTCATTCCTACCCTACCTTTGCTTGAATGATATGTCATTCAATCCTAGTTGTTTCAGATATGCACTATAACTTTACTAGAGCGAAATCATTAGTTTTCAAATACGACCGTAAAGTTAATTTGTCATTTTTAAGAGCAAATCGCCGTATGTGGAGCAGTTCCTAACTCACGAAATCAGTGCCGGACGTGGTCAGCGATATCTTGATTTGCTGTGGCGATTCTACGAAAAAACGGGGCACTACGACAAAGCAGCCACTCTTCTCAGCCGACTGGCTGACAACGAGAAGTACGCATATTTTTCCTTTGAATATGCACGAAAGGGTGCAGATGCAGAATGAAACTTGGTTCTCTAACATCTTTTAAAATAGAATTGTCATCGTGCGGTACCCAAACCTGTTTTGATTTGACTTGATCTCTCGCGAAACTCAGGCGAACTTCCCTTGAATTCTATCACGCCTTGGTCTTTCTTCGTTTTCTCCATTTCCACTACATATAATGGATGGCTCTCGTAAACAAGTGCGCACGTTCTGTATCCTTTCGTTTTCTCCCTGTCACTCTACCCTCTTGCACCTCTGCCTGACAATGAAGGTCAGCCGTTGGTTCCACACCACTTAACTTCAGTGAGCCCCCGCTGGGATTATCCATCGTAGGCCGATCGCTGAAGGCCGAATCTTATGGGCTACTCGCATGTGGTTTTGAATCACGAAAAACCATATTACTGGGTAGTTGTTCTGTTAGTTCTACTTATAGGTTGTCTTATTTTAGTGATGAGATCTCGTTGTCACAGCGGTTTGCCTACTTATCGCATGCCATAATATGCGCCCAAGCAGCCACAGATGCAAAAACAAAAGCCATGGTGCAGGACCTCCGGGACAAGGTGGAAGTGGCTCATATACAAATGGCTATAAAGTGAGTTTTGAGACTGCCATTTTAAACACATGAACCCTTGAAAGCTTCTAGGTGAGTTCGGTAGGATTTAAGACTTTCCTTTTGTGTTTACAGGGATTGTGTAGATCTACAAACACCAAGCCAACAAAATCTTGTGAAACTGCTCGATGGCCCTATTCTTCCGCTGCATGATCTTCTACAAAAGTTCGCGGTGAGTCGAAAAATTTTGTACCACTTCAGACTAATAGCAGACCATGCGAGTAAGTCGGTTAACGGGATAATGGTTTCAGAGTCCACTCGGCTTGTACAAGGTACAATTGGCCATATTCCACTGTGCAAATCTTTATAGCGAAGAGCCGATAATGGCTGTGTGGGAAAATATTCTGCAGTCTGGTAGTGTTTATTTTGCTGAATCTTACGCTGCTTTGTTGAGAGATTTCAGCTACTAAAGCTTTCGTTTTTACAGAATTCAAATATGAAGGCGAGGTACCCGAACGATTACTGAGTACACTACATGATCTGCATTCAATTTATGGGCATACGAAGTATTTCCCTCGAAGTGAGTGGGCTCCGAGTTACAGCGTTGTTTCTGTTATAAAACTTCTTCATACTCCCTGTGTTTAGACTATATTTTGCGGCGGTTGCTTGAGCTTGGCTCGGGTATGACCGGACGATTGAAAAGAGGTGTCCTGCCTGCAAGCTTCTACGTGTCATTGATATCAAAATTGAACCTCAGTTTCATTGAATTTATAGAGCTTCTCTCATCGGAATACAGGTTAATATCTTTCCAATTTTATCTTTCGCTGTTCTAATTTTGACAGTGTTCTTACAAATTATTGTTATTCTCCAATCCTGCATATGACTTCGTAATTCAGAGCGGGTGATCCGTGGTGGACTCAGAATGAAAGTGGTCAACGATACATTATGGAAGTTGGTATAGCTGTTGTTCAAGCATTTCTCGATAGTGGAACGAAGTACACGCCTAGTGAGAGGTTTGTTGATTGAAATTTCAGTTTTTTGCTGGGTTAGATGCTAGCCTGTTGTCCCGGTTTTTGATGTGACATGATGAATTTCAGAGCGAAAATCGCTAGCATGTGTGATTCTTGTGTGTCGATGTTTTCATTGGACGCTAGAGCGGTCTCGTCCACCCATCTCCTTCAACTCGATCGTCACTTCTCAGCTCTCCACCTCCGACTTTCTGCCATGTCATCTTAGGAATAAGTTAAGCAATTTTTGATAATGATCTGTTTTCTGTATGTGAGGTATACTAATTTGCAATTGTTATTCTGATCGATTTTGATGTTGTCTATTTTTTCTGTTTTAAGTTTAATCACGCACCTCAATGCCGTTGACATTGTCGGGTTATTAATTCGATATTAGTTTCGATATAGGCTATTAATTTATGTAAATCATACTTATTAATAGGGCGTAAGATAAAGGATATGTGGTATGGTAGTCTTTGCGATCTTACATTAATTTGTGTGTCTATGAACCATCGATTATAAGTGTCTTTGGAGATCGTCTCCGCGGTGGTAACGAAACAAGCGAGATGTAGTATCGAAGTATTGCTTCACGCCTGGTGCTCATTTTTTTAATTCTGAATTCTGAATACGAATTTATCGGATCATTCTGAATATCTTAAGCAAGTTCTGTTCTTATTCGAAGGAACCGGTACTCTTCTGAAGAAGAATGCTATACTCATTTTTTTGAATCTATACTTTCCATGGCAAGCTACTTTCTCTTTATTTTGTTTCTCTCTTGGTAGTACTGCCCCACACTTCGGGTTCGTTCCCAAAGTAAGATAGAAGATTTGTCTATCAAAAAGAGACTTAAAATAATGTTGTAGGATATTTTTCACATACTATCGCAGCGCGATAATCGAATCAAAGAATTTCTGAGGCTTCATTGGATCTCAGTGAAATGGTGTGATGAGGTTGATATTCATGAAGGGCTTGATAGTACACAGAACGTAAGTAGGTCAAATTGTTATAAAAATTTAAGTGGGCTCGTATATGACCAACTGTCAAAAAGTAGAAACCTAAGGGTATTAGTTGGGTATCGATGTGACCCCGTTTTCCTAAAAGGCGGCAGCTCAAGGTGAGTTTTGCTGGGATGTGCGAGGGATGGTGGTGTGGTTAAGGATGTTGGAGTTCGTTCCCAAAGATTTTTGATTTCTGACCTTACGTTTTCGCGACTATTTATCAATTGCTTATGTCTTTAAGAAATTTCCTTTATTCGAGCGGTGATGTGAGGGATGAATATTGATGAGTCTCTCTAAGGTTCTATTAACAATATGCATCTACCGTTTTTTTCGATTCTGGATTCTTTGTTTCCGCATTATGTGTGACTGCATCTGCACGGACCGTCAGACGGTGTCCATTCCGGTGCTGTAGTTGTCGCGGTTTTCCTTCTATTTATTATACGTGCCGCTAGTGAGGGAAGAGCGCTAATGACGGTTGGAGCGCGTCTGATGGTGCCCTGCAAAACGTGGCGATGTCCTCTTGTGTGCAAGCTTTCTTGGATTTTACTAAAGCTTTTTAAGCAGATTCTTGGAAAAATAGCCAAAAGTTTTCCTGCTATTAGTGGGGTTTCTTGTGTTTAGGATGTGGCGATGGTTTTTTGTAACAAAGGGTTTAGTATGATGTTTGATGTATGATGTACAAGGACGAGCCCACTATCACTACCCATTATTACGAGGAAAACTATTGCAGCTATTTTTCAGAAGATCTGATTTATAAGAGCTTTCGTAATAGCCAGAAAGCTGACCACGAGAGAACTTTGTCAGCGTTTTTGTTATCTATACGGAACACGATGCTTTATTGAAATGTGTTTGACCTATCAAGTTCTTCGATATTCTTTTCTGATAAGAATTCGGGCGCAGAATTAAGTGCGATTGTTGTGGATCTCGATTTTTGCGAATGCGCTAGGTTGTAAGTTATCGTGTTTTGCGAAGATGTATATTATTCTTTGCTTGCAGAATTTCTTGTATCCTATTCTCTGCTTCGGATTTCATTATGTTTCGAAGTTTGGAGTGATATATCAAATATTTTGGGATGCATATGCAGTAACAATTTGTTCCTACCGTTGCAAGTTGAGGTGTGTAGGATTTTAGCGCAAGCAAGCTAATTTGTATAGCTAACCAGGTTCTAAAGTGAATAAAGGACGAAGTGAACCGTTTCTTGTTTTGGGTATCTACTCTATTATTTAAGCTGTTGTAATGCTTTTTATAATCAGTGACTTGGATATTCTATATTTTTGTGCTTCATACGTTCAAGCAAGACCAATTCTTGAACTGCAATTGCTGGTGTTTTTCACGCTCCAATCGCTTTTCAGTATTTGAACGGGTGAATTCTGAAGTGGAGCTGTTTTCTACTACAATGCGTGATAGCTGTCCTCTGTCGAATGTCGGGTAGCAGTTTTTTTGGGAGTGTGCGCGGATTCAAAATGGTATGGCATATCGATTGAAGCTGATTCAGTCGGCTCGCCCTCCCGACAATTCAAATCGCCGTCCAATGTCTTGGTATTCGTTTTCTCACAAATGTTTTCTGTCATCGAAAACATCATAAAAGGTCTCTTGAAATCGATGCGTTCGCGTCTTCCTGCATATGCTTATATTGTGATTCATTCATTGGTTGATGGTTGCTTCGTTGGATGGACATTTAACATTTAATTCATAAATGAATTCTTTTAGCAGACCTTCAAATGGTCTTACTTTTTGTTGATTCGATTGCATCATACACTCCTTATTTCTGGACGTAACATGTCTCCAATATGGCATCTTCTTATCGCCTTTAAATTTTTACTCTCATGGTTGGGTATTTCATCATCTTTCGTCCTTGTAGAACGACTGTTTTTTTTACTCTTTTCCGATAGAACTATAATGGACTTCCAGAGGTCGTGGGCGTCGGACAAGTGGTAGTCTTGGTCAGATTCGAAGGCCGGTTTTTGTAGGGCGTTTTTATTCGCGGTAAACGCTCCTATTCTGCACGGTTTTTATCTTGTGCAACCAAATATTTGGATTTTCTTGACTGATAGTTCTTTACTTCACGATAATTCTTATTGTGTGTTTGATGGTTTGTTTGAGAATATTGTTTTCAATTAGCTTGGACCGGAATTGTCTCATTTATCTTTTAACTTTATTGGATACTTAGGTTCCGTGTACGTTTTTTTTCAGTTGTAGGAAATTGATTTGTGGAAATGTGTGAGGGAAGTGTTCGTCTACTGGTATCTAATTCAGAGAAAATTATTTCTACTGGTATATACTAAGTTGGTTGTTTTGTGCGTGCTGTTTGAATTCTTTCCCGCTTTTAGTTCGTTCGTCGAGTAAATGATTTGACACTCGACGTAACTCGTAAAGGACTTGATAAAGATCTACGTGGATGGTTCCTTTTTTTGCTTTCTTTGTGAGACGAAGTGGGATCGGAATCCTTGTATGACAACTGAGCTTTTCCGAAGCTTCCTACGTATTTTTTTTTTGAAATAGTATTTCTATTTATTCTGATGGTTACTATTGCCTGTTTGCTGACCATGCAATACCATCAGTAGCGGTTTACAGGATTTTTCTTCAAGAGGTAGGTGTAGACGTCAGGTTACACATTTTCCCATTGCTCCTGTGGCTTAAATATTGCGGAGTTTTGATGCCATCACCCCTATTTAATTATTCTGTCGTTCTCTCATGTTTCAGTTCGCTCAGAATGCTGTTTTGACGTTTGTTTCCTGATTCCCATCTTGCTTATGTTACAAATCACTCCTATTTTGGCATCCAGTCCCTTGAAATAAACGTCTTATTTTGTTCCGAATTTTTTAAAATCTTGTTTTCGTTTCAATGTTATGACTGTTGAACTCTGATCGGTACCTCAGTTTTTTGTGGAGAAAACAAATGGATGTTTAGGTCTATTCCAGTTAGGGGGCATCATGATGCAGTTTCTCGGTGAACTCGAACATTCCAGCTTTTCACGCATGTCAAGTGACTGCCCTCACCCCCACCCCCTAGACTGGCTACACTCCCCTGGCTCGGAGTTACCCTAGCTTTCTGGAAAAACTGCATCATGATGCCCTTCTAATTGGAATAGACCCGGACGTTCTTTGTGAAGAGAGTTAGGCGTGGTACTGGCTGAGGTTGTTTCGTTTGGAGGTTCAAACAGCTGGAAGCCGGTATAATTCACACAGGTGCTCCAAGCAGAGCGTAATAAACCAGTTTTGGTGGATATAACGAGAATAGAATAGCTCATAATAGGTGGAACATGTGGAATAAGAAAGAAGACTGGGAGAAGAACTGGTTAAGAAGTGAGTGCGGACAACGAGGAGGGCTGAAGGCTGATGTCTGTGATTTCCTAGCCATTACTTTGTGCTGTGACATGACGAGACATGGTTGCGATCGTTTTCTGCAGTCTTCGTAATCGTGATATTAATAATGATTTCGCCCCTCGATTCGAAGCCTTGAATCATCCATTCCCGTTGGGCTCCTGCATTTTCAATCTCTCTCAAACTATTCCGCCTTGTCAAATTTAGGAATTCTCGGTGTCTATCTGTTTCTTTTCTTTCTCCCGTTCCAATTGCTTGCACTTTTGTGTCTAGGTGACAAGAAAATTGTTTCGTTTGTACCCATAGTTCCACTAAACAATGGTGAGTCGATGGTTTGATTCTGGTGGGTTCGAGTAGTGGCACAGTGAGCTAAGCGGATTAGTCACAGCCCCAATTGGAATCGCCCCAAACGAATGGCAACAATTTATCTGACTTCCAGGTTCTTTGAGGGTTTTTATCCTGATTTCGTGCCAATCGCAGCAAGTTGCTGCAGTTTTTCAGTCGGCCAGCAAAAGTTTAATGCATTGATCGTTCGTTCGACAATGAGCGTCGTTGTGTAGTTTTTTATTCCGTTTACGCTACGAGTGGTGGTCAGTTATTGTGTTGCAGGATGTCGGCCTCGTTCGACCCGTACGACTGGGCATCGTTTTACTTCGGCAAGATGGGACGCGATGAAGCGGCTCGCCTGCTGTCGGAGACTGGCGTAGCTATAGGCACTTTCCTTCTGCGTGACAGCTCAAGGCCAGGCGATTATTCGTTGAGTGTGAGGTAAAGGATTATTTGTGGAATGTCCACTTTTGTTCTTTTTCTCAATCCAAGTTCATGATTTCAGGGAGTCGGATGAAGAAAACAAAGTCCGTCATTATCTTATCGAAGAGAAGTTTGGTGAGAATGGCGTGAAGCAGGTCAAGGTGTGTAAAAAGTTTCTCATTGATGAATCCCATTAAAGTAACCTTCATCGCAGATTGCTGATCACGACTTCATGGATATACCAACGTTGCTAAATCATTTCAAGATACATATTCTTGATAAAACATCACTCACAATTCCCTATCGCAAAGGACAAATCGAACAGGTACGGAGCTCATTTATTTTGCCATTCTATTTTAACTCCTTTGCTGGTCATGCTTTTACGTACTTCGTTTACTGCAGATATTCAGACCTCTTCAAATATAAATGAAATTCTGATGCGTGGCGCATTCTCAAACGTTGGGTCCCTTCAATAGGTATAATTTATTGTTTCATTTCAGGTGGTTGGTTTGTATCGTTTCGAAGGAGAACGTGACACGGACCTGCCATTCGAGGTTGGAGAAACCTTAGAAATTATAGGAAAGCCCGAAGAAGGATGGTGGCAAGCAAGAAACGCTTTAAATGCTACAGGTTTAGTACCTGCAACCTATGTGAGACCAGTGAGTTCAAATTTTTAATTGCTTCTCTTTATTTAACTTAAACGTTATTTGGCGGCAGTGCACACGTGCTTGTACATTTGAATGAAGGTTGAAAAGATGAGGCATTTCAAATGCTGAGCATTGGACCAGTCTATGAAAGTTAACAAGGCCGTAGGGGCCATGATATTCTGGGTGCTTAGGTTAGAGAAAGAGTAAGGGAGACAGCATAGGAGACAAGCGAGATCAGAGAAATTAAACAAGCGCAATGATCGAGAAGCTTTTTTGGCGATTTACTTTCTTCCCACTTTCACATTTATCCCTGCCTTTCGACCTTGTTTTGCTGCTTCTATTGCAAAAAGGTCATTAACATTGACAGACCGGTCGTGTGGTATGATGTCTACCACACTTTCGCATGGGCAGGCTAGTTTTTCCTCAATTTATTTGGTGTTTTCTCCTGTTCCACAACGGTCCATGTACATTACTGAATCCGAAAAAACTATTTCTTCATTACTGATAATGAAAACGCTAAAGGATTGATGCCTATTGATGAGAAATACGAAAAATGTTGAAGCGGTGCGCGCACAACGGCGGTCGTCAACGTGTTAAGTATTGAACCTCACTGGATTACAGATTGATGAAAATGGCGACCGTCAACTGAAAGGTCATAGTCAGTCGTCGATAGGTAGTTCCTTGGCCGACGAACGGTTCAGTGGTGTTTCCACAAACAGCGACCCTCTTGAAGACCGGTACGAGGTGAGTGATATGGACACTATTACGTTTTTAATAGCCAGAAGAAAGTGCAAACGAATATTCATAGATCAGTCATCCGGAGTTTTTTTAGTGTTTAGCAGATGTTGGATCCATTGTCGAAGTGCAAGTGGGAAGAGACAAAGGGCAGGGACTTTTTGTTTGGGCGCTCATAGCCGTGGGATTGCACTTTGAATAACAATAACACATTTCGGATCAGAGGAACCAGTCTATGAATTTAGCTGCGTTGATTTCTCTAAATCATCGCTCGTTCTTTGAATGTGTTGAACATAATCCATACTTTAGTTTCTTTCGATAAGAAATCAATTTAATGCTCACCAGACGAGAGATGAACGTAATGCAGGACGCACCAGCGCCTGCTTAAAACGCGCTAACGGTAGAGGGATCAAACTTCGATCGCTTCTACGCGAGCGGCTGAGCACGACCCACCCGCCGCCCTTTCCGGCTTAAACTCGATACCACTAACAAACAACTAACCCAAGAAAGGCATTCAGCCTCCCTTCACCGGAATTTTTGAATCGGGACTCAGATAAATCAATAGAGCTTTAAACATTGACCACACATATGAAAACTAAAACTGCAAAATGATCCTGCTAGATGAGTTATGAGCAGTCAAAATTCGCCGAATGTAAAGCGTTCCATATGAACCGTGAAACCGCCCAGGCAGCATTCAAAGTCGCCATGGAGTAGTGGTAGTGCTCTCAAAAGTTGCACTTCAATGGGAAGAGAACGCACGACCTCCCGGCTGGAAAGCGAGAGCACTACCACTACTCCGCGGCAACTCTGAAAGCCCGGAAGCTAGCACGGTTCATAGGTAATGTTGTACTTCCAGCCAACTTTTCCTGCTCACAACTTCTTTGGCAAGTTCATTTTGCAGTTTTGACCTCCATATTTGTAATCAGCGTTTGAAGCTCTATCGATATATCTGGTCTCTTAATTCGAAGTTCATGGGGAGTCAAAATGCCTTCCTGGTAAGTGAAATCACGGTTTTTGAATGGAAGTAAGGGGTGGCACATCTCAAAAGCGATTGATCAGTGCCGATTTGTGTTGCTTTACTTTTGCCACGAGTTGTTAAGTGGAAGAATTTATCTAGCCAACGTTTCGATTGTCCCGTCGCTTTTAGAGGCCTAAACAAGGCTCAAAGTAGAGGAGGGCACAGTATCTCACAGTAATGATAATGCCGAGGTTATAAGATGGAAGGACTAATTGGAAGGCTTATTCATGAAGGAAGGTGATAATGGAAACGTAGCGTAATGTAACTCGAAAGCGGTTGTAAATTTTCCTTTCAGCCACCTCTACCAGCCGACGCAAAGGCCATCTACGATAGACAACCAAACGCGTATGATCGAACTCAGCTCAAACTAAAGGTGCTTAATTTGAAGTTTCATGCTGGTTTATTGACTTTATTTAGTGCATTCAAGCGGGTGAGATCGAATTGAATCTCCTTCCTTTCCTATGTAAATATCTTGGTTTTAGAAAGGGCAGTCAGTCCGAATTACGAAGAAGCTCACGAACGGAATGTACGAGGGCGTGTCGGATGGACGTGTTGGTATCGTGCCCTTCACATATGTACGCTTTGCTAAAGCAGAATCAAATGCAGAAGCCATGAAGGTTTAATGTGGCGGTACTGTTCATGGTGGATTAGTGGTTGAATATGTACCCGACCCTTCTCCATGTCTCCTTACATATCTCAATCTGATCTTAGCTCTAGCTGGCTTATGCACCCTATCTGGTAGGTTCTACAGCAACCATTTCCTGAGTGCAATGTGTCTCACAGCGAAGTGAATCGGAACGTTGCAGTGGAGCTATTGGCTGTATCACTTTAGAGTTTAGTGTGCTTCCGCCACTGGTTTCTTTTGAACCTTCTTGTTCGCCTGGCCTCAGACTTGTCGGCTGAAATGGTCATATAGATTCTGCCCAGCTACCCGTGTTAATATGACTTCCCCTCCCCTCCCAATGTTTTTTGAGGTTCTAATACCATGGGGAGTCCACTTTGCGTTGTTTTATGGGCTTCCTTTTGGTTGCTGTCATCGTGGGACATTAATTCATCACATTGAACATTCCTTGCCAGAGTAATTCTCTCAAGTTTGTACCTGAAGTCGGAATAGCATTCCTCAATACCATATCCATAAGAAAAACCTTCCGAGTACAAAAGGCGGATCATTGTCTTTATGGAGGTGCTTCAGTGCTGCGGTAGCTTCACAGATCGTGCTCTTGCCAAATGGGTGGGGCCACTGAATTTCATTTTAAACTGGCAATTTCTAAGCTGGCGTTTCTATGAAGTTGCAATTATTTCATGCCTAGAGGCGAATAATTATTCGTAAGTGTAATATGTGCATTTTTGTTGTCTCATAATAGAAGTGCCTAATTTCTGTTGCCGTTTCATTATCTGTTTTACGAGTGCTACTCTTTTATTTCGCTGAGTCAAAGACCGAGCTTGCCATCTTCAACTGAAAGCCAATGCGATGATTTTGCGAACGCATCAGGGGATATGTAGTTTTGTCTACGCTTGGGGCTGACAGCTGTGAACTGCAGCGGTCCTTGAAGGCTGGCTCAGAAATGTAGATCACTCGGCTGTCTGCAGTCAATTACAGGACAACTACCTGACTCAGTTGGACTGGTGTAAATGAATTCAGCATTAGGCTCCAACCGGAAAATCATGGGTTGCAACATCTGGACAAAAATGCCTATGGGAAGTTGAAAAGAAGGCTGATGAGCTCTTGCATTCGAAAAGCAAACTTGTTCTGAACAATCTGTTGCTCGTAGATTTCTACCTATTTCTGTCTAGAAATGAATAAGCAAAGAAATGAAGATAAGCAGGTCCTCTCAATTTCTACTTTTGGGAATTATTTTAAAATTCGACTGTGGCCTGCTGTGACGTGAAGAGCTTGCATGTTCTCTAAAACCGGTGAAAAAGCGGTCGAATTTTATTTTTATCCTCGAATGTTAAGTGGGAATTTAATAAATAGCAGTGTTATAAGGTCTAAGCATTAATTCAGCTTCTTTGGTGTTGTTGGAGTGAACTGTTGGATAAACTCTATATAACACTTTTGATTGTTCACTTACACGTTCCCTTGCAAGTGTACCGAGTTTCATGAGATTAATTTAAGTGTTGTTACGTTTTTTTCATGTATTTAAATGTTTGCCTGTAAATAAACGTGCATAAACGGCTTACTTCAAATATTATGTATTACGTTTCATATTTGTAGAAAAAACATGGCGTACTTCAATTTTTAGAGGAGCACTACAAAGCTTCTTCGATTTGGGTCAGTCTGTTTGGAATTGTTTTCTAGCGCGCCTAACCTCGCCTTGCTTGTACATTGATCACGGAACAGAGGGATATTTGGATTAGACTCTGACGATAAATGAACTTCGAATACATTCCTACAAGCGTCCGAGGGCCAGGCAGTGATCCGAACGACTGGGAACTGCTGGCTGGCTGTGATTGCAAGGGCGAATGCTCATGCGATCAAGCATTGTGCCTGCCTGTATGGAGCAGAGGTAGTTGATTGACATAATTTTATCTTGTACTTTACTTTCACGTTTGTACCATCTCCCGCACTGCATTAATTAATCGTGCTTGCATTGTTATAAACTGCGCAGTTTGCGCATCACAGTTAAAATATATGCTAATAGTCATCAATTAGTAAAGTTCTTCAGCACGTACTACAACTGTTAGTCGCTATCGCAGTACGGCATTGTGCGCAAAACACATTTGACAGCGCAACATTTGTTTTTCCTATCAACGCAAGTCTAATCTCGGACGGTTGAGAGCCCAAATGCGCGCATTTTTCTTCCCCGTCTACTACCCTAGGCCTTGTCCGGAGGATGCCCCTCTATATCTTGCGATAACGCCCATATTACAACCCCAAGAAGGACAAGTTTTTCCCATAACTCCGCCTTTAAGGGCAATGCGGTGTCCTCACCAGGATTTTTCATTTGTTTTTGATGTCGACGCCATTTGGCACCAGTTCGCGCCATTTGCATTCGCAATATGATTTGAAATAAATAACTGTAGCTGCGACTTTGGTAAAATTTTTGAGCCAATAAAAAAAAGGAAATTCTGTATCCACATTCAAACCGATTTAATCACATTCTGCTTAGTTTGAATCGAGTGGTCACAAGTGAAAATGGAACAGCACATTCCCTTTTATAAGGAGGGCTTGCGTCTTCTAATGGAGGGGCATTTGAGGAATATTTGCTGAAGAACTTCCGTCAACGACGAGCAATCTCTGCGAAGAAAAAAAAGCCGAAGTGCGACATAGGCAAAATGTCTTTTTTTTTTTGCCCCCCCCCCTGTATTTACAAACTGCAAGACTGCATCTTTTTTCAAATCACTACAGCACCTTGATGTTGACAGTTCAGGAATTGTAGGACAATTACTCAAGCGATGGTATTTTACTCGATAAAGCAAGTGGGGCGCCGATTCTGGAGTGTCACGATGAATGTTTGTGTTCCCAACGAGAGCAGCCTTGTCGTAATCGTGTTGTGCAACGAGGAGTCCAAGTGGCATTGGAGGTAATAACGTACTTTTGATGTAGATGTAATAAGAAGAAGTCGATCATATCTGACCTTTGAATCTTTTGATTACTCAATTTTCTACTAGACATGATCAAATTTGGTAATATAATAAATTGGGCTGCAATAACATTAACTATCTCGTTCAGTGTTACGGTAAGAGGAAACACAACTGAAGCGCTGAGATCAAGAGGGCCCAGTTGATTGACCTAGAAACTGAAATACTAAATCCAAGTCCATCTTAATGGCATTTTGGCGTTGAGTGATACTCGTCGATGTTTTCTTCCAGATATTCAACTGCTCCGGTCATAAAGGGTATGGTGTACGAGCTGTGCGAGAGATTCCGAAGGGTGCATTCATTTGCGAATACGCTGGCGAAATTTTGAATAAAGACGAAGTTGAACGAAGGGCGATTTCTGCTTATGATCATAACTATACGTTAACAATTAAAGAACATGGAGAAGGTAGGCTTCACAGAACTTTTGTAGATTTTTTGTTGTGACCGAATTATTTTAAACATTATGAACGTCCTCAAAGAATAAAAGTCTTGATCGATTCAGGAGGTATTGTGACGACCTTTTTTGATCCGCGACTGCGTGGCAACCTTGCTCGCTTTATTAATCACGCTTGTGAGCCGAATCTTTCTATAGTGATCGTTCGAATTGGGTATACTGTTCCGCATGTGGGGTTGTTTTCAAACAGGTATGTTGTGCGAATACATTGATCGCTACATTAATTAGAAACAGAGCTATAGGGAGACCCAGATGAGTGTTTTCATCCATATACGGTGCACCTGTTTCAATGCCGTCATACTCGTAGTCTGTTACTTTTTTGATCAGAGCAAGACCACATTGAATTATGCGAGGGCCCTTCTCCCTTTCCTTTCAACTAGCATTTTTTT